AGCCAAGACTCTCTCTGCTCCTGAACTGTGCCTGAAACAAGATTCACATGCACTACTCACTCACTGGTTTGGATGGCCCATTCTCCTTCCTGGACCTCAGTTTCCTCCTTTACAAGATGAAATCGCATTACAATCTTTTGTTTTAACACTAGTGTTCTCATATGTCAGCTGAAGAACCTATGGGCAAGAAAGGAGTTAAAATGAGAGTAACTGAGTACACGAATAAAGATATGGCCCAGCCCAGGACCAATATGATGTAGCAGTTGAAAAGTGAGGCTCTTCCACCAGACCTGGGCTCAGGGCAAAGATCTGTCACCTACTATATAATGTTATGTTTCAAAGCCTGAAACAAGTTTTCCTCATCTGTAAAATGGAAATAATAATACCAATCTTATGAAGTAGTTTTGAGAATTAAATACTGATATCACACTTATGTTGCCTAGTAAAGCACCAGACATGTACTAGGTGCTTTGTATATGCCATTCTAAACCAACCAAAAAAGAATTAATCCTTGAATGATCATCTGCTTCTAGGACTTCAGGAAACTCAATATTCTTTCTGTGGTTTTCGAGTCTTTTTCCAAAATAACTGTCTACTTCCTCACTGCCAACTTCGTGGTTAAGGAGGAAGCCAGAACCATTATACCATCACAAAAGTTTGATGACTGCCTATTTTATTAAGGGTATCACCAGGGTTACCAGAGTCTCGGGGAGGTATGAGGAGGCCCTCCATTCTGGAAGGACCTGCCTTTTTCTTATCATAGGCCTTGTCTTGTTGGATAGCCAAATAAAGGGCTCTGCCCACTCACATTCAAAAATCTATTCATTAATGGGATGCAATTCACATTATGTGCCACTAATTACCCTAGGAAGGCAGTAAAAATTAATAAGGAACTACAGTTTAATTGTTCTATAATGACAGGGAGTTCCAAAGTGCCCTCTTGAGTAATAAAATTAACATTTAAACTAGTTCAGTCAAAGAACCTTTCCTTAAATATAACTCTTCACTATTAGCGTTGCTTATTTATCTATTTTCTCTTTGGGCAGCTCTAAAATGTCACAAATTTATACTTAACTTTGAGAATCTGTCCAGTGTCCCAGACCAATGACTATAGTATCTATAGTGTTCCAAGTAAACGGTGGACAGCAAGAGAAATCCCATCCCCACCACACGTGTGTGCGTACACACACACACACACAAATTAGATTGTCCCATATTTATTTAATCAAGGGTTGAGAAGCTTCTTGGAAGTCTGTGCACCTCCCTAAAGGGTGATGGGGGCTGGGACAGCTGCTCAAACACTTGTCTTTGTAAGGGTCCTACAAAATCTCAGAAGTGAGATTTTTGCTATGACTCTTTTACATTGGAACTTGTGTGGCTATTACAGGGCCCTCTGTGCAATTTCTTTTAAGGGGATATGGTGGTTTTTTGTTTTGGGGGGTTTTTTTTGAGAGTTTTGTTTTGTTTTTGTTTCTCTCTATAGGGCACGTGCACTCACCAGACAGACAGAGAGAGACATAGAGACAGAAAGCAAGAAATCACCCCCCAGGGGGAATGGTCATGCCGCAATCCCTTCTCCTCCATTCTCCTCTCAGGATCTTGGGCACACACGCACACGCGCCCGGCGTGAGTTTTAAGCCATCGGATCTGGGACGCGAACCGCGGTCGACTACGTGGGAGTCCAGCAACATAGCCATTATGCTAACTGCTGGTTCCTGGTAGTTTTTAAATATACTGGAAAGAAATGAAGTCTAGGGGCCAGCAGGTGGTGTAGTGGTAAGGTGTCGGACCACCACATGGCCAACTACGGTTCAAGTCTTGGACCCAAAGGCTTGAAACATGCTGGACATGCGTGCATGCCCAAAATCCTGAGAGGAGAATAAAGGAGAAGGGATTGTAGCATGGCCATCCCCTGTGGGAGGGCAATTTCTCACTTTCTCTTTTTCTATCTCTGTCTCTTTGTGAGCGCACATGCCCTATAGCAAAAACTTCTCCAAAAAAGAAAAAAAAGAAGTCTCATTTTCTAATTTCATTTCCCTTGAATATGGGGAGGATTTAGTGATTGCTTCCCTTCTAACAAATAAAACATGGCCAAAGTGATGCTGCAGGACTTCCAAAAGTAGGTTCTAAAAAGGATACGGCTTTCACCTGGCTCTCTTGTGAGCTGTTTGTCCTTGGAATCCAGCCACTATGTTGTGAGCAAGCCCAGGCACATGGAGAAACCATGCTTGGGTATCTTGGCCAACAGAACCAGCTGGACCCCCAGCCAACAACAGCTTCAACTGCCAGGTTCACAGTGAATGAGCCCTTAGATGGTTCCAGCACCCAACCTTGAAGCCACCCCTGCATGGTCCTAGGAATCATGGAACAGAGACAAGTCATGCCCGCAGTGGTCCGAATTCCTGACCAAATCATGTGTGCTATTAAATGATTATTATTATCGCAAGCCACTAATCATTATCCTAAGCCATTAGATTTTTAGATAAGCTGTTACACTGCAATAGAGAACTACTACAGGAATGTTTACAGAGATTGGGCCTCCCGGTTCTTGAGCCAAGACCTTAAGGCCAACAAGCCTCATCCACTCTGGGCAGGGGAGAATACAGAGAGCCAGCTGTGCCTGACCGCTGTCCCAGCCCACAGACACCAATGTGCCCATCCCCCTACAGAGTGACATATTCCAAAAGAGATTCTTTAGCCTTAAGCAATTTTAAGGTTGAAGGATTTTCTTATAATTCATAGAGATAAGACAGCACAGTTTATCAACCTGGGATGTTTGCTTCCCCTAAAGAGCAAGGATTGGCATCGATAATCCCTTGAAAGTGCCTTTCAGAGTCCTATCATGTTGTGACTCATCTTACACAAGCTTGGAGAGAGGGAAAGGCAACAGAGAAAAAATCCTGTGTTTTGGGACAGGTTGTAGCAAATCTTCCACACTCAGCCCCAACTCTACACCCCATGTCCACCATCCCTCACAACAGTATCACTTATTCCCCCAGGCTAGGCCAGCTTATTTTAATGCATTCATTCATTCTCTCATTCAATATTTTCATTCAATCATTTATTCACTCATTCAAAATTTAGTGTTTACTGCCTCAGAGGAGATAGACATTAAACAACTAAGCATACAAATAAATAATAATGCTTGTCCTGAGCATTGTGAGGGGAAGTACAGTGTCCTCTGGGGAGCTAGGGATATTTAAACAGAGACATGGAAAAGTAGAGAATTTGCAAGGAAAACAGGTAAGATGGAGACACAGGAAGAGCATTTCAAACAGAGGAATAGCATAGACAAAGGTCACATGAGAGGAAGAAAACCTGGGGGCCTGAGGAAGTATCAGTCAGGACACTGGGAGTGGAGAGATGAAGAAAGAGAGCGCCACGTCTGAGGAGAGAGGCAGCAACCGAATCCTGGGGGATTTGTCTGCATTCCAAGGACAATAGTGTTTCAAGCAGAAAAGTGATGAGGGCAGATTTTCTCTATTAAATCATCCCGGTCTTCTACTCCCATTAATTCCTATCTGTGTGTACACTTCTATATAACCTAGACCATATTATACTGCAGTGCCTGCTGAGGCGTCTTTCTCCCTCCACCAGCCTGGTAGCCTCTTGAGAGATGTCCTAACTGTATTTGTAATTGCATCAAGATCTCGACTTGGGCTCAAGTACGAACTCATTGCAGTCTGCAAGCCTTGGCCATCTCTTCAGGAGCATCTCAGGTCACCTCCTTTGTTCTCTGGTCACTCATCCTGGTCCAGCTTCAGAGGCAAACATGTCACTTTCTAGAGAATCCTTTCAGGCTGCCCTGGGAAAAGGGTAGGATAAGGCCTCTGCTCGATATTCTCAGAGCAACCAATGCTTCTCCCTCACAGTAGCTAGCAGGATTTATATCACTACTTATACACAACACTGACTAATAACTGTGCCATCCTATACCGTGGTCTTCATGAGGTCAGAGAACATGTCCGTCTTGATCATCATCGTATCCCCCATGCCTGATACTGTGACACACACAGCAGACATTCCGCAGTTGTTGAGTGACAGAATGAATGAGCGAGAATGCATGAATTGGCAAATGGATGCATGGGATTAAAGCAAGACCCCAGTGGACACCCAGGCCAGGTCAACAACTGACATTGGATGCCTCTCTGATCATCCTGCAGCACTGTCAATGGCAGAAGATTTTCGCTGGCCTCGCTGACATGCTACTGGAAGAAATCAACGTTAGGGGAGGCTTTATGGAATAAATGGAAAGTAGAAATGGGTTGAGGCCAAGAAGACATTTCTGGCAATCTCAGAGTAGTTATTATCTTAATCCTTCTGCCAAGCAAGAGGAAGAAAGCTGGCAAACACCCATGCTCAGTTAACAATTCTGTATAAATGCTGATGTGCAAAGGACCTCGGCTGTATTCATAAGCTCTTCCCAAATCCAGGGCATTCCAAAGTCTCTTACAGGAATTGGTAGGGTCAAATACAACCCTTTAGGTCAGTGTTCTCAAACTACCTCTGGTAAAGGGTCAGGTTTTATTTTTATTTTCAACCCATCACAGATGGATTACTTTACAAAATACAGAAAGCATACATTTGGATGTGGCAGCCATGTCAAATTGCTATGAAAGTTTCTAAATGCTTACTGCTTGTTTCTGTACTCATGGGTAACAAATACTTCAGAGATTTCGACCTGGCTGCAAACCACACTTTCAATAGCACTGTTCCAGGTTGGTACTTGCACTTCTGCCACCCCATTCCTCAGCCATGGCAGACATTGCTAATCTACTAACACATTGCTGCCTATCAAGACTGTGTTGGCTTTCAAATCCATCTCATCTTAGTGTTCAAGACAGCCACCACTCTGTAATCAAGGATACCCCAGGAAATAAACCTTATTCATCATCCCTGCTCTACACAGTTCATTGATTAGGTGTTTGTCATGTTCATACCCATGATAAGGCTATATTTGTATTTCTAGTGGTAACAGTCTATGCTTCTGTGTTTTTCAGGGTCTAAGGGGAAGTTGCAAAAACATTTCAAAGGGAACTTTACAGGTGAGATTGAGAGGAAAAGTTCAAAATGAAATGTGTCTTTCTCCAGAGTGAGATTCAGGCCCGGAATGGTCTATTTCCAGCTTAATAAAAAATTAACAGATGGGGACCAGCAGTTAGTGTAATGGCTGTCACTGGACTCCCATGTAGTCGACCACGGTTGGAGTCCCAGACCCAGTGGCTTAAAACTCATGCCGGGCATGTGTGCATGCATGCCCAGGATTCTGAGAGGAGAATGGAGAAGAAGGGATTGCAGCGTGGCCATACCCCCTAGGGGGTGATTTCTCACTTTCTGTCTGTCTGTCTGGTGAGTGCATGTGCCCTATAGCAAGAACCTCTCAAAAAAAAAAAAAAAAAAAAGAAAAGAAAAAGAAAAATTAACAGATGGAACTAGAAGGTGGCATGGTGGTTAAGGCACTGGACACTCCCACAGTTTGTCTGACCACAGTTTGAGTCCTGGACCTGGTGGCTTACTTTCTCACTTCCCTCTCTCTTTCTGTGTCTGACCATGGTTTGAGTCCTGGACCTGGTGGCTTGCTTTCTCACTTCCCTCTCTCTCTCATTCTGTGTCTCTCTCTGGTCAATTTAAAATAAATGAATGAATAAATAAAATTAAATTTAAAATAATTTTTAAAAAGTTAACAGACGGAGCTATTTCATCAAAAGGAGTCCCTCCTGTTCATTAGTCTGGTAGTAATCTTCTGCAGCTTCAGAAGTTTTTAATTCATATATACTAAGAGAGATAGGCTGAAGCAATCTATACCAGGTACAAAAACTTGTGTATTCTCAGATGTGAGCTGTATATATCATTTTGGAAGCTATACAGAACGTACTGGGATTACTGGTTTTTCTTTGACTTTCTTTCTTCAAATTCTCCTTTCCTTGCCCACTTTTATTTCAGAGTGTCATCAGGACTCATTCACAATGGATTGTTTCTCTCCTCATTACCCTCTTGGTCAAAACGGTGAGGGTTTTCATTCTTTCCACGTTCGATCTTTTCCCAAGCAAGATTAAAACTCCTCAGTCCTCCTCTGGTAATCATCAAGCTGTGACCCAGCCTCCAGTCACAGTCACGAAGAGGCCAAGGAACGAAAATCTGCAGGAGGGAGAGAATTGATCTGTTTCTCTATTCTGGGCCTGAATCTCACTCTGGAGAAAGACACATTTCATTTTGAACTTTTCCTCTCAATCTCACCTGTAAAGTTCCCTTTGAAATGTTTTTGCAACTTCCCCTTAGACCCTGAAAAACACAGAAGCATAGACTGTTAGCACTAGAATGAGCCTTAAAGAGCATCTAACCCAAAGCTTTCTTTTGACTGGGAGGAAAACAGATGAGGTTAGAATGATGAGTCAGAGGATTCAGATTCTCTTACTACCACCTAATTCACCTCCCTGAGACTGTTTCCTTAAAATGGGATGATTGTGACTTGCTCACATGGTTAGTTGAGAATGAGGTAGTTTAGAAAGAAAAAAAAAGTGAAGTTCTTTGAAAATGAAAGCTCCATGTGAATATTGGGTTTGTAACTGTCCTGAGTATCATAGTAAATTAGAGGCAAACGTCAGAGTAGAGGGACTATACAGAAAGGGGTGGGGGAATAAATGATTCAATCTGCTTTTGACAAGGACCTTTTTTGACTACTGGGAGCTAGAGTGAATTTAAGAAAAAGAATCAGGGAGTTAGGGCCCACTTGTAATCCAAGCAAGAGATGATAGTAGCTTGAATTAAAATAGTGACTATGAAAAAAAGGGTGAACAGATTTCGATATATTTATATGGTAAAATTTTCAGGGCTAGATGACTTGGATATGTGAATATAGAAAGAGAGGAAGAGAGACGTGTTCAGAGTCATGATCCTGACTTATTTAATAGATGATGGTGATGTTTAATAAGATAAGAAACATCAAAAGAGAGCCCACGGCACAGATGAGAGGTCACAGACTCACTTTCCAACATATTGAGTTTAAGACATCCAAGTGAAGATGTCAAACAGGATTGGAGCTATGGGGATATGAATGGCATAAGATATAAAATGTTAAGTACAATTGCCCTAACATATCCACATGGGATTTGTTCTAAGACCCTGTGTCCCCTCAAATACCAAAGATGACAGAAACACGTCTCTTACATAAGATTACATAGTATTTTCTTAATAACCTACACAATCGTTGCATATACATTTTTAAAAAATATTTTTGCCGTAGAGTGTATGTGCTTTCCAGAGAAAAATAGAAAGAGACACAGAGAGAGAAAGTGAGAAATTACTCCTTGGTAAAGAAGATGAAGTTTGAATAGTTTCTCTGTCCCTCTGTCTTCCCTATTCCATTTGAAAGAAAGGACTCTGGTGTTTTTACTCTGTTACCAGATCACTGACAGAGCCTTCTGAGGACATTCCAAGACAGTGTGCAGTCCTCTGGTCTACTTGGAGAGCCGTAGAAATAACGTTTCAAGGGAGATACTCTTGTTGGTTTTGACTGGATATTCATAGAAACTTTTTAAAGAGATGAGCGATAGAGCTAACCCTTATCTGTAAGTTTTGACTTTATATTGTTTCATCCCACGTACAAAACCATTTTTTTCCTACAAATAGTTTTTCTTTTCTTTTTTTTTTGGGTGGGTGTGTGTGTGTGTGTGTGTGT